ACTAGGCATCCCCTAGTCACAACATCTTCATATCATAGATACTAGGCATCCCCTAGTCACAGACTGGAAAACTGAGATGCGTGGGAATGTACTCGCCGCCAGAGTCGTAGATCTGGACTCTGACGCAGGTCCAGAGCCTGTGCGGGCCACCTCCTGTGGGAATGGGGAAGCTGGGTCACGCGGCCAGGAAGCCACAGGACTCGGAGCTGATGACTCCTGACCCGCATGCAGGGCTCTCTGTCCCATTTGGGGGTGCATGGGTCCTGAATGGGGAAGGGGGGACAGTGGCTTTGTGCCTCACCACCCCAAGTCTCCCTCTGCCTGGGAAATCGAAAGTAGAAAGGAACAGCTGAAAATTCCTTTTAAACGGAAGTTCCTTTTCATGCCACAAAGCCCTCTCAAGATCCAGTTTCTGCCCCAGCGAGCCCAGGATGGGATATGGTGGGAAGAGTACAGCTGTTGGCACCACAGAGGCCAGGCTTAGAATTCTGGCTCTGCCTCTGGCTTACTGACTGTGTGACCTTGGGCCAGTCACTTAATGTCTCTGTGCCTCTGTTTTGACAGTGCATGTAAGATGCTTGGTGCATAATAGGTCCTCATTTAATACCAGTCCCTTCCTCTCCTGCCCCTGCCTCCGCCTTTAGTTCTTTCACCTTTGAGACCAGCAGCTTCGGAGATTCTCTCTCCTCAGACTGTCTGCATGGCAGCTCCCCAGCTCCTGCCTAATACTAGCTCTTTATCATATTAGGAGCACATCGGGAAAAGCAGGGCTTTCCTCTTCTGTGTAATGAGAGGTAATCAGCACTGCCTTTGAGCTGCCCTTCTGTTTTCCTTGAAAACCCTCCCCTGAGGAGAGGTCACTGGCAAGAGGTTTCCAGTGCCGCTGTTGGGGGAAGCACTGGCACCCTCTGCTCTGAGCAGAGACCTGCAGAACCTGTCTTCTCCATGCTGGGTGGCCCTGGCAGGGCACTTGGTGAATTATCCTGTCGCAGGCAGGGGGCATCTCGAGGGATGAACAAAGCAGCCAAAGGCCAAGTGCCCTCCTGCCCTTCAGTCTCTCCTGTGTGGGGACTGGGTTGCAATGGGCAGGGACTCTGCCACCCCAGGAACCAACTGGTGAGGCTTCTGCAGGGTAGAGACCCAGCCCAGGGCAAGACTCTTCATATCCCAAAGGGAATGCTGGCCGGCCTGTAGAACTTAGCAAAGGGCTGGGCACAAAGCAGACACTCAATAAGAAAAACAATAGCCAACATGTGCCAGGCACAGCTCTGCCTGCCCTACAGAGATATGTCATCTGATCTTCACAGCAGTCCATGAAGGCATAATAATCTGTTGTACAGGTGGGGAAACTGAGGCTGCAGGAGGTGACACAACATGAATCCTAGAGCCCAATGAGCCCGGGAAACCACTTCAGAGCCTGGGCTCTCAACCACTGTACTTCTGCTGCCTACATTCATACATCTCTGCGGCTGTCCAATAGTGACCTCAAACTTTATGGCAATAAGCCTATTATGTGTATGAATCCTCACAACTAGACCATGTGGTGCAGATATCTTTATCAGCCCCACTTTACAGATGAGGAAACTGAGGCCCGAGAGGTGAAGGAACCCAAAAGGGCCTGATAGTCTTGGAAGGAGGTGTTGGGGCAGGCAGAGGTGGGTAGTGGCAGCCTCGGTTTGACCAAGTCAAGATGTCTTGCAAGGCAGGGAACAGGAAGTGCTGGGGCCCATTCACACCTGCGTGCATCTGGTAACCGCTGAGTCCCCACGATGTGTGAGGCTAGTTGTGGGGAGCACAGGAGTTAGAAGCAGTCCCTGCTCTGCCTGAGCCTATGGTCTATCAGTGAACATGAACTAGTGAGCAGCTGATAATGACAGGCTTTACTGAGTGCTGTCACAGGGTATCCACAGAGGCTGTGGAGCCCTAGAAGTGTCCCTAACCAGCATGGGAAGTCAAGGAACACCCCTCCGCACCAGTGACATCCAGCGTGTATCCAGGCAGCTGGCAGATTTCAATCAAGACAGTCAGGGAGGGGCCGAGCCCGTGGCGCACTCGGGAGAGTGCAACACTTGGAGCGCAGCAGCGCTCCCGCCACGGGTTCGGATCCTATATAGGGATGGCCGGTGCGCTCACTGGCTGAGCGCGGTGCGGCCGGTCTCAAAAAGGACAAAAAAAAAAAAAAAAAAGACAGTCAGGGAGATGGTCATGGGCTGAAATCTTCGCCCAGCATCAGCCACATCAGAACTTTCCACCACTAAAGAGAGAAGCTTTTCCCACCCACCTCGCCCCTGCTCTGTCATCCCCTTCCGCTGACTGTGCAATTGGAGCTCTGCCAGTGACTTCTCCGCACTAGCTCTTTGCAGAATAGCAGCTCCAGGACTAGGATTAGCTGAGACCTGGACCAAGCTGTAGTCGAGGGGCAGAGCTGCGTGTTCTAGGACAGCTGCATGTTGGAATTTCCATCTGGAATCTCAGCTGCAGCCAGTGGCCACAAATACCTCCCTTCCTGGCCTGTTTCTATCTAGCCCTGGTACCAGCCCTTCACCAACTTTAAAAAGGTGTAGGGAGGCAGCTCTTGTTTTTCTCTGTGGGTCTGAAGTTTCCACTGGCTGGAATTCAGATGTGATGGCTGGAGCCTGAGCAGCCATCTTGGGCTCCCACATGGATCAGCCTGGCTAACTCCCTACCCTCTATCCCCACTTCCAAGGAAACTAAGGTAAGGGAATTCATATTTATGGAGCACCTATTATGGGCCAGGCACTGTGCTTCATGGTTTGTGTATTATTTCTTCCCATCAACCCCTTGAGGTGGGTGTCACTAACTCACATTGGGCAGCATCTCTGCGAAAGTGCTTGAATCATATATGAAACATAATAGTAAAAAATTGCATGTACTGGGTTCCTACGAAGTGCCAGGCCCTTGAATTCTTTGCAGCAGACATTCAAGGTCATGATCCAAGGGCTGGCCGGTTAGCTTAGTTGGTTAAAGCACAGCCTTATAACACCAAGGTCACAGGTTCAGATCCCAGTACCAGCTAGCCACCAAAAAAAAAAAAAAAAAAAATTCAAGATCATGATCCTCATTTCACAGATGGGAACGGTATGGTTCAGGAAATTGTAAGAACTAATTCAGTTACTAGTAAGAGACAGAGCCAAGGCTGGGACCCCAGTTTCTCAGATTCCAAACTTGGGTTCTTTCTAGTTCCACACAGCCACTAAATCTGCATCCTGCTGCAAAAGGGCACCAACCCCACCTTGACCTCCATCCTGAACCAGGGACCTGAAAAGCCACTTATAGGTTTGGATACACTTGCATATTTTCACTGAAAATCGTTTAAAAGCTTTTGTAAAGAAAGGAACAAGAAGTAGGCAGGTTCTGTTGGTGAAAAAAATAACAAAACTGTTCAGGGAATTTTCTTTTTGTGTTCTTGAGAAATCATTTGAATAAACCAGTGTAATCTGTGATTCAAATGGAAATTCAGACGTTAACAGCATCTTGGAATCTTTGTGTTGTTTCCTAAGATTCCCTACAAGAGTCTCCCCAGTGTTTTCCTTTCTCCTTTAAATAAAAGCCTTCCCCTTCAGCCTTAAACATGTTCTGTTTTGCGCCTGCCTTTGGCACTAAAGCAGGCCCCCTAGATTGGCTGGGGAGAACTCAAGGTTCCATTTAGGGGCAGATCTGAGTTCAGCAGTCTCCACACGCAGCATCTCCAGCACAGCACACAGCTTTGCTCTTCATGTGCTGTGTGTCATTAAGCAAACCACTGTCCCTCTCTGGGCTTCACTTTCCTCATCTGTAAAACGAGAATGAATTTTCACATCCCTCCTCCCCAACCGATTTCCTATGAAGAGAGCAGGCTTTAGAAACAGGTCTGGATTCAAATCCCAGCTCTGATGTGGTCTAGCTGCGTGACCTTGGACAAGTCACTTTACCTCTCTGTGGTTCGATTCTTTCATCTATAGTTAACAGCCGACACCTGTCAAAGGAGGGTATCTAGTGTGCTTATTTGCTACAGTGTATTAAGGACCTAACTGTTCGCTCACCAACACATCCGAACACAAAAACAGATGTCTTGCTCTCTGAGCAAGCAGGTGGGCCCATATGAGTTCTTGGCCCTGGTCTTAGTTAACATTAGCCCATATAACAAAGGCCTTGCTCTGTGTCTTAAACACAGCAGGGTTGATCCTATCATGTAAAAGAAGCCAGAATAGGTGGTTTAGGGCTGGGTGCCAGCTCCACAGTCTTCAGGGGGCAAAATTCCCTCTATCTTGCTGCTTGCTCTGCCATCTTTAATGGGCCACCTCATGGCCCAAGGTGGCTGCACAAGCTCTGGCCATCCCATCTGAGTTCTAGCCAGCAGGAAAGAGGAGATGGGGGGAGAACAGTGCTTGCTCCTCCTTGTAAAGAGAATTCCACTACTGCCTCATCTCATTGCCAGAACTTGTCACAGTACTCCTAGCTGCAAGGGAGGCTGGGGAGTGTGCCCAACTGTGACTGGAGCTCTTGTGTCTAAGGGAGAAGTGGGAGAGTGAACTGCAGACATTCTTCGCAGTCTGTGCCTTAGCTTTGTTCCAATTTGGGGGCTTTTCCTGGGGGAATCCTCACAGCTGCAGTGTGGTATAGCTACTCTTATTGTCCCCATTTTACAGCTGAGGCAGCTGACAGAGGGACAGGGGATCCTGCCCAAGGTCCCCCAATTACTGAGCAGCAGACACCCCCACACACTCACCAGCCATAGCCTGAAGCTGCAGGCAGAGAATGAGAACTCCTGCCCCAACTTTCTATCAGGAGATTCCCTTCCTGCCCCCAGAGGACACAGACATTTTAGAGAAACTTCCTTCATCTTTATTTAATGAATTCCAAAATGGCTTTGAACCTGGAGTCTTCCCACCCCACCCAGGACTTGAGAGGCCTTGAGAGTCAGAGTCACAGGACTGGCGATTGGTTGGCTGAGGATGCTGAGGGCGAGGGGGAGGCCCAGAAGCTTAACTTGGGGCCCTGGGGAGGGCTGAGCTCTGCCCACCCACTGTGGACCTCACCACTGTCCTCCTGCAGGTCAGCGGCCACCTGGACTACGCCAAGCAGATGGACGTCATCCTGAAGGCCATGGGCATCCGCACCAAGCCAGGCTGGGACAAGAAGGGGCTCTTGCTGGCCCCAGGCAGCCTGCCCCAAGAGGCGCCTCCCCAGGCAGCAGCCACCGCCACCTCATCGGGCAAGACCACCCACCAGGATGATGGGCAGACCCAGAGTCCTGCACCTGGAGACACCCCCAAAGTGACCATGTCCACTGACTCCAGCCAAGCGCAGGTGCTAACGGGGCTGGACCAGTCTGAAGGGGCCTCCCTTCCTGCTGCTGTCAGCCCTGCTGAGAGCCCCCAGATCTGCAGCCATGGCATGGGCCCCAACCCACTGGGCTGCCCCGACTGTGCGCATGAGGCCCAGGGGCCCTGCGCAGGGCTGGACTGACCCCAGCAGAGGACCTGAGCTGTCTTCCCAGATTTCAATATGCAGCTGTCTCTTACACCCCTTCAGCTTCCTCACATGAGCTCTGAAGATGTGGGATCTATCTCCACAAGGGTCTTTCCTAAATGGAAGGAAATGGAATTGAAAGGAATTGGAAGGAAAGGGTATTTGGGGGAGAAAACATTCCTTCCCTGGGGAAGCAAGCCAGAGACCTGCAATGTCAACCAAGCACAGTTCAGAGCCCTGGGACTCTAAACCAGCCATGGGCTTTCTGCACTTCAGTTCACAGCTGAGGGGACTTGCCACTCATCAAGAGGTCCAGATGGCTCTCCAGGGCCTGAGGCTCCCACACCACCTCTCCCTGGGCCTCAGTAAAGCCAGGTTTCTGCCTTCTCTTCCAACCACACTTGAGGCTACCTGCCCACAGGCACCACCAACTGGCACCTACAAAGCAGGTACAGCTGTGGGGGGAGAGCTTACTCTCCTTGCTGTTAGGAGATCCAATCAGATCTGCCGCACACATTTGTGCAGGCTGTGCACTGCACAAGTACGGGGCATCAGTCACACAGACAGGATGTGAGTGGCACCCCCCAAAGTTGTGCAACACGGTGGCCCTGGATATCATTGTAACAGAGCATGGTGAATAAATGCTTAATAAGCATTCAGTGTGGCTGGGAACTGGGTCTGGTGACAAGAATAAATTACACAGGGAAGAATTTCCCCTGTAGCAGGAACAGGGGTGATAGCAGCAGTACCATGTACTTACACTGATCATCTCAGTTGACCTTCACAATCCTAAGTACTCATATGATCTTCATTTTATACTTGGAGAAAGTGAGGCACAGAGAGATAAGGTAATCTGCTGAAGGCCTCAGAGCTGGTCAGGGATGAAGCCAAGTCTCAAACCCCAGTCAGTCAGACTCCAGAGCCAAGCCCTTAGCCACTGCATCTGCATCCACGGGAGCCTTCTTTGTTCCTTCCACTGTCCCCGAATGACAGGACAGATGGGGAAATCAAGGCCCAGGCAGAAGCACTGACAAGCTCTGAGGGAGGTGGGAGGAGAGCAGGAGAAATTAGAGCCATTGAATACTGAGCTGGATCACTGTTCAGGGGTATGCTTATTTGTTTTTTCATTCCACGAATATTTGTACAACTCCTGCTGCTATTAATCCAAACGCTCGTGTCACACATGGGAAACTGAGGCTCTGAAAGGGGAAATGATTATTCCGGTGTCCCAGAGCAAATTAGGGGCAAAGTTTGACACAAAACCCAGGACACCTATGCCCAGGGTCTCTTCCCACAACACCAGCTGCTTCTCAAGCCCCGAGCGACCCCTCCATTGAATCCAGTCCACACTACAGTCACTCCCTCCAACTAGTGTTTATTGGGAGTCCCCTCAGGCAGGCCTGGGGGCACAGGGGAAGCCCCAGCAAGCACCATGGCCCGTCCGTGGCCAGCGGCCAGGGCTGGAGTTGAGTCTGATCAGCACCGCGGAGAGCAACCCCCTGGGCGCTTGGGTTAATGGAACTTGGGGTTGGTGGGGAGGGGGAGGCTTTAAGAAAAACCTCAGGCTGAAAAGAGACCTAAGGCAGATAAACCATGGGCACCAAGGATTCCCCCATCCCCTGGCCAAAAAAAATCAAGGGCCCTGTGCCAGAGTCCACGGGCCTGCCTGGTGGCCCCACCCCACACCAAGGACAGCTGCTCTTCAACTCTGTTCGGCTTACCCAAGTGGCCAACATTCCCATTCCCCTCACTGACCCCAGGGAAGGCCAGAAGGGGTGGGGCAGGGGGCTGGTTTTACCCCTGACAACGGTTTCCTTTTAGGTCTGAGGAAGCCCATAGTAGAGGAAAACCCATCCCTGAGGCCGAACACAAAGCTGCCATGTGTCCCTTTGCCCCCAGGAGAGAGAGTGGCAGCCTGGGAGCCAGCTAGTTGACCTGCGGGATAGAGGACTCACCCAGCATCCAGAACTAGGAGTTGGGGACCCATAGCCAGGTCATAGGAATCTGAGTTGGGGCTGAAAAGAAGGAGGAGAAAAATGGACAAAGAAACAGCAGGAACAAATAGCCCTTCCTGGCCCAGAGCTAGAGGCCAAGGGGCTAGGTGGCCAGGATGATAATGACAATGTGCCACTTACTGACCACCTCCTGGGTGCTGGGCCCTCCGCACATTGTCCTAATTCTCAAGACAACCCTCGAGGTAGACGTTGTTACCCCATTTTACACGTGGGGTAACTGAGACTAAGAGAGCTTGCATAACCTATGCCAGACCCCAGAGCTAGAGAATAGAGCAGAGATTCAAATTCATGCCTGCCTGACTCCCAGGCTCAGGTGCTTTTCTGTGCTAGCAAATCATTCTCAGGGTTAAGATCATCTAAGCCAGCACATCTCACACTGTTTGCACATGATTCACCTGGGGATCTTGTCAACACGCAACTCTGATTTGGCAGGTCGGGGATGGAACAGAGGTATGCATTTTTAACAAACTCCCAGAAGGTGATGGTAATGTTGATGGTTCATGGACTGTGTTCTGAGTGGCACTAATCCATGTCTGCAGACAGAGGCATCCCCTCCTGTCCAGCCTGATGCAATGGGCAGAGGACATGATTGTTTTCACCCTCATCTGAACCAAGAGGTCTTTCTCCCAACATCCAGTCTTCCAGCCATCCTCTACATACACCACAAGTTACACTCCACAATGGTGCAGCCTGTAGAAAACTAATCAGAGCCAGCTATTACCCTCCAGGTTAGGGGCCTGGAGCAGCAGCAGGGACTGACTCAGTGTACCCCCTGGTACATTGCAGCCTCCTGGCCTCAAGGACTTGGTTCCACCCAGTGCAGCTCCCTGCCGGCCAGCTCCAAGCCAGGGTCAGTTCATAGGAGAACCAAGTGGATGCAGCTGCAGCTTGGGCTCCATGGGATCAATGTCAAAGAAGTTGACCACAGCAGCGGCCCTGGTAGGCAGTGGGGGATCCCGGATGGCCTCTCCAGGCAGCAGCAGCTGGGCCGTGAGCTGCAGGCCTGAGGAGCCACCTGAGCCTGAGTCCAAATCTGAGTCCGGTGGCAGGGGCAGTGGCAGCACGTGCTGCAGGCTCAGGCCGGGCCGGGCGCCACTGTGTGAGGTGCGCATGGAGGGTGAGGCGAGGCTGGCCTGGCGTTCCTGGGGACAGCTGGGGCATGGCAGGAGCCTGCCCAGGGCCCGCTTGAAGTCCCGCATGAAGAGTGGGTAGATGATGGGGTTCATGGTGCTGTTACAATAGCCCAGCCACGTGAGGACATCGAAGAGGCCTGGGGAGATGCAGTCACATACGGCCTGGAGGGATGGGATATGTCACACTGGGCCCCAGGGCGGTGACACGGAGCACCCCACCCAGCGTGAATGGAACAGACCCACACAAACATGTGCACCAGGAGAGGCAGCCCTCCTCCTCACCCCACCCCCTGCGCCTGGGCTGGGGTAGGGTTTGAGACCTCCCCAGCAAGGCCTGAACTCACCTGCCCCCTGCTGTGGCATTACCTGGGCTATGTTGGCCACAAAGAATGGCAACCAGGTCACAAAGAACATGCCCAGCAGGATGCCCAGTGTCAGGCTGGCCTTCAAGGCCTTCCTGCTGTGCTTGGTGGCCAGACGCCTGCTGTCAGCTGACTCCACCCCTGGGCGTGGGGTCCTGGGTACCTGCGGAAAGGAATGCCACAGGAGTCAGCTGAGAAAGAGCCCATCTGACCCTGATCCTAGCCACAGACTAAGCCTTAATCCTAATTCTAGACTGATCCCTAGTACCAGCAATAAACTGAGCTGTGATCCTTGACTGAGCCCCAACTAGAGTCCTTGACTGAGGCCTGACCCTGGCTCCAGACCAAGCCCCAACATCAGTGATAAACTAAGCCCCGATCGTGGTCCCAGACTGAACCCTGACCCTGACTCCAGACCAAATCCTCACATCAGCAATTTACTAAGCTCTGATCATGGTCCCAGAATGAACCTTGACCCTGGCTCCAGACCAAGCCCTGACATCAGCAATATACTAAGCCCTGACACCTACCATAGGGCCCTACATAACAAAGGTCTCAAACTGAGCCTCTCCCATGGACCTAGACTGAGCCCTGATTCTGGCCCAACACTGAGCTCTTTCCCCAGCAATAGACCAAGCCCTGACCCTGACCCAGAGTTTCACAAGGAGCCCTAGGAAGTGCAATGAGGCAGAGCAACACGACCCCAAGCACAAATCAGATGGCTCAGAAGAACAACCATCCTTGCAAACACAACACTCAACACAGGCCCACACACATTACAGCGAACCCTCGCACCTTCCAAAGACTTCAGCACTACAAGAATCAGTTGCAATTGAACAGTACTTGAAAAAAGAGGGCCTGTTGCTGTCCTGGGCTTGGCAATTTCTTTGTATATGAATTCTCTTCATATTTTGGAGAAATGGTTTTGCCTGTGCGATTACCCTCATGCTCCACAAAATAGAAGTGCTTTTTATGAGAATGTATGCACAAAGCAAATGTTTGCAATTAAGTCTCTTACAAATTACTGGGGATGCTACTGACCTTGGCACTTTACAACTCAATTACATTGCAGACTGGCAGAGGAGCATCTGTATTCTCAAAAGTGGACTGCAAGAGGAGCATGGAGGACGGGAGAAGGAGAAAGAAGCTGCTCCCCAGCAGCCACTGAAAGGAGGACATGGGCACTGGGAGGTTAGAATTTGACTATGCAAACTGGCAACCAGCAGTCCCAAAACATTAAAAGGCTCTCTGAACTGGGTGATCTTTTAGCCCAGCAGTTCTCTTAACTTTTTTTTAACTTCATGAGCTCTTTTAAAATTTAATGACATCTACAAAAACTTCTCCCAGAAAATAAAAGGCTTATAAATTTTTATACACACACACACACACACACACACACACACACACACAGTTTAGTTCTTGAAGCAGCCAGAGGTGGGTTGAGTATGGGGGGATGAAAAGGTCAGGAGGCAGGAAAGGAACCAGATTCCCAGCAACCTTCTGCAGATGGAAAGGGGGCAGAGGAGGCAAAGCCAAGATGTGTCAACCCCAGGGAGCACCAGAGCCAACGTCCCCCACCCCACTCCCATGCGCATGAGCTCTCCCACCAGCCCCTGCTCTCCCCTTCCAGCTCCTCCAGGCATCCAGAGCTGGTGTCTTGTCCATGGTGCTGAAACCCCCACTACGTACTTTCTATTGGAGCAGGGGTTCTAATTCTGGGTGGTGGAGGGCAACAGGGGAAGACAAACCACATGGTAAGTCCTGCCCCTCAGTGTGTTTACCCAGGTGAAATCTAGTTATACAAATATCAAGGACAACATACCAGCCAGCCGGTATATATGTGTGTGTGTGTATGTACACATCAAGGAAAAATTCACAAAGAGCACCCTAAGAAACACCCTCGATTTCTCCCCTCTGTCTTGTTGGGGCAGCACTGTACACAGCCAAAAGCTGGACTTTTAAAACAAAGCATCTGCCTTCAAATTATGACTCTACCACTTACTTACTCTGTGATCTTGAAAGAGCCTCTGTTTCCACATCTGTAAAATGGGAGAAATGGTACTCAGCCCACAGAGTCGCTGTGAGCCATGGATAGTAAATGCATGCATGTACCCGACATAGAGTAAGTGCTGAGTACACGGTAGCCACGATGCTGGTCCAGTGACATGTGTATGAGTTTGGGGTGATTCTGAGCACCCTCAGGGCCCTGTCCTTCTGCCACCAGCTCTGGCCTCCCCAAAGCAGCACAGACATCAGGGCCAACGCTCTGACTCCCCATGCTGCAGCTCGGGCTCTACAACAGAGGATGCTGTCCTCCTCACCACCCCCCACATACACAAGTCTGCTCTGAAGTCTGGCCCCAAGTCAGCAAGGGAGAGACAGAGTGTCCACTTTTCTTTCTCCTCTCCTAGTTTTCTCTCCTCCAGAGTGCACTCCACGTGGCCCCACCACGGTCAACCTGGAAGAAGGCGCTCCTGCTTCCCCAAAAGGGTCTCCTAAGACCTGTCGTGCCTTCAAATCACCACCATCAATGGGTGTAGACAACATGGGGAGGGAGGAGGCATTGTCTCCAGGAGGCTCCACTCATGCAGGTGCCCCCTGCCCCTGGGGAGGGGACAAGAGGCAGCCCTGATCTTGTCAGAGCTCTAGGGCACCAGAGAACTAAGGCAGTGGGTGGGATATCTTGGGGGCAGTCATCGGGGGAGGGAGCTTCAGAGAAGAGGGTGATGATAAGCTGAGATTCCCTCTCAAGTCTCCCTGGGAACAACCCCAGGTTTTTCTTTCTCCTTTTCTCCCCAAAGAGTTTACCCAAGAACACAGGCAAGAGCGAAAAGAGAAGGAAACTGAGGCCCAGAGAGGGTAGAGGACCTTCCCACAGTCATACTATGCCAGTGCAAGGCTTCGAACCAAAGCCCAAGTAACCCCAAATCACCATTATCATCCCCATTTATTGAGCACTTACTACACATCAGCATTTGATATTAAGTTACTCAATCTTTACGAGAAGTAGGTATTATTATCCCCATTTTGTAGATGAGGCAACTGAGGCTCAAAGAAGCAAAATGACTTGCCAGGAGTCACACAGCAAGTAAGAGTTGTCAGGGCTTCAGTCATTTCCAGCCCCAGAAACTGCACTCTTCCCTAGGCTGCTTCCACATTCAGGGATGGCATCCGCGGGCTCAGTGAGGGTTACAGAAACCCCACCACTGTCGCCAAGAGGCCCTCATGGAGCAGAAGCCAGTGGCACCCACCAGCTCACACCCTGGGGTCTGGCTGCTGCCACTTCACCCTTCTGACTCCCTCTGCACTGCAACCACCTCGCAGCGCCTGTGGCCACACTCTGTCATCTGCATGTCCCTTATACGTGTCGTGGCATGTGTCGCTGTCAGAGGACAACTGCCTGGAGCATAACCTGGTGGCGCCCTTCCAGCCAGCAGTTCCCTTACAGATCCTTATGTCCAGCAAACACATGCACATGTACCTGTACACTTGGCATATACAAGAATGTGCACCACAGCACTATTCGTGATGGGGAAAAATTGGAAACAGACTAAATGTCCATGAAAAGAAGAGTGATTAAAGTAAACCATGGTACGTTCCCACTACAGAATACTACTCAGATGTTTTAAAAGGGTGAATTGGTCAAATGGAAAGCTCACCAAGGTGTATTATTAAGTGATAATGACAAGATAAAAAGCAACAGATACAGCATGACTTCATTCGTTTAAAAAAAAATACACAAAACAACACACTGGTTTTTTGGCGGCTGGCTGGTACAGGGATCCGAACCCTTCACCTGGGTGTTATAACACTGCACTCTAACCAGCTGAGCTAACCGGCCAGCCCCACACTAAGTTTCTTTAGGCACCTATACAAATATGTAAACACGCAAAAAATAATTGGAAGGACATACCCTCCATTATAAGTATCAGTGGGTGTGCAGGGTGATTAGACCGAATTCAGGAGGCCTTTTACTTTATTTCTATTGTTAAATTTTTATTTTAAGGTGTACTTATGTATTCCCTTGTGTCATTTAAAATTTTTACAATAGGGGCCGGCCCGGTGGCTCACTGCTACAGTGCGCCGCTTGGGAAGCGCGGCGGCGCTCCCGCCCGAGGGTTCGGATCCCACATACAGACCGGTTCCCGCTCACTGGCTGAGCGAGGCACGGGGGCAACGCCGAGGGTTGCGATCCCGTTGCCGGTCCCGGTCCGGTACGGGGGCGACACTGAGGGTTGCAATCCCGTTGCCGGTCCCGGTCCGGTACGGGGGCGACACTGAGGGTTGCAATCCCGTTGCCGGTCCCGGTCCGGTACGGGGGCGACACTGAGGGTTGCAATCCCGTTGCCGGTCCCGGTCCGGTACGGGGGCGACACTGAGGGTTGCAATCCCGTTGCCGGTCCCGGTCCGGTACGGGGGCGACACTGAGGGTTGCGATCCGTTGCCAGACACAGAAAAAAGACAAAAAAAAAAAAAATTTTTTTACAATAATCTAATCCTAGTGTGAGGGTTACGAGACAGGATCTGGAGCCAGACTGCCTGCTGTCAAGTCCCAGCTCTCTTACTAACTTGCTGCGTGACCCTGAGCAAGTTACTTCACCTCTCGGTGCCTCATTTCTGTACAATGGCAATTATAAGGGCATCTACCTCATAGGATTGTATTCAGGTGACATAAGACAATATAGAGAAAGTGATTAGAACAGTGCCTGGCACATGGCAAGTGCCACGTAAGCGTTAGCTATCGTGTTGTTGCTGTTCATTATTATTATTACCCGGCTCAGCCGTCTGATAACAGTGATGCTGCTGCTGGTGGCAGCAATGGTGACTTCTTCCCCCCAAGAGAGCCTCAAAGGGGTGAGCTCCCCAGAACCTACGTTTCACCACCAACAGGAAAGGAGAGGAACGAAGATTTGTTGGGCACCTACTATGTGCCAGGTACTTCACTTATATTATTGGCACTTCAAACAGCATCACATGATAAATATCCTTACCCCTGGGGTACAGGCAGGTGAAGTGACTTGTTTCAGGTCATCCAGTTGTGATGGAAAAGAGGCAGGATGTGAACCATGACCAGCCAGTCACCCCAGCTCCTGCTCCAGCCCTGGCTGCACGGGGCTGCCTCGCTCCCAGCAGCAGCCGAGCTCCGCGCTGCCACCCCCTCGC